CCTCAAAACATCCAACGATAGGGCTATCTACTTACTAATAGTAGGATAGCATTGTCTAAAGGAAAAGAGAAAAAGAACAAAGACCGTTCGAGTAGGTAAACTGCTTATAGTTGCTTGCTCACAAAAACAAACAAAACAATTTTTCACATATACACAAACTTTTCTCTAAAATATTTTCAAAAACAAAACACTTTGTATATGTTCTCAACAATATGAGAAACATTACAAAGTTCGCCGCACTATGGTGTATTTTCAAAATATTTTTCAAAATACACTTACACAAAAAAACATTTTCAAAGTGAGCTAGCAACTAAGAGCCCGTAGATAGCTACGGATGGAAAGGATGCTAACACCTTCCCTTTCCATAACCTACCCCCCGAACTCAAAATCTTTAAAAGGTCTTTCCTGTTCTTTTCACCCTTTCCTTTGTTGGATAAAAGAAAAGCCGGTGGAGACTCTTGCTAACCGCAACATTTGCGATAAAATGCAAAACCAGTAAAGTCAGTTCTCCCACCGTATTACATTTGGTTTTGAATATTTTAGTTCATAAAGTTTGACATTCAGATGTTTATATTTTGTACAATAAGATCATTGAATGATCTCACTAAATTAAAGTAGAATCAGTTGAAAATCGACATGTACATGCCAACTTCATGTGATTTTCATGATGCACATTTCATGATGAATCTATGTCATTTAGTTGTATCACTATTAGTGATCATTTATGGGTTTAGTTATGATTTATATAACGAAAATCACTTTGATTATGTATACTAGCATAATTAATAGACGACATAATTTGGATATGCTTAAAGTGTATAATACAAAAATTTGAGCTCATAAAATCCAACACGTGTGCAAAGTTACATAGTTACATATGTGACCAGTGGGAGATTGTTATAATTTTGGGTCACAAATGTAATATTACACGTGTTAGGATCATTATTTAATTAGCCAAAACTAAAGCGGTCCAATTGATATTATGTTTATGGATAAGGGCATATGTGTCAGGAAAGTTTATTGTGTAGATACATAAGTCAATATCTAATTGATGAGGGGCCAAAATAGACTAATAAAAACTAAGAAATAACCATACGATTATTTATATGGGTTATGGCCTATATTTGTAGAGTGATTGGCAAAACACAGTTTATTAGGATTTCTCTCTTCACCCCTATCAGAGGAGATTCAAGAAACTTTAAGGAACTCTATAAATTAGAATATCACATACCCGTAACCTTCATCGATCCCAAATCATAAACTTATGTATGCTTTCGCCTTCATTCTCTGATAAAATTCTGGTATGGATTTAAGGGATACGAGTTGATGAGTTATTGACTCCTAGAAAATAGTTTAAAGTCCTGCTCTTGATTTCTATATGAGTAGAAATCATTAAGTTATAAAATAGATCTAACAACATTCACATTCTTTTTTAGATTGTAATTCTTTTCTTTTTATTATGTTTTATCTTTAGTAACAAAAAATTAGTTTTAAAATATATCGTAGGAAAACAACTTAAGTTATATTGATATATTCTTCAAATTATATTTTAATAAATAAACGATAATGAAAAATTAATTTGTCAAAATAGCATAAAAATAAAACAGGTGAATATACCAAACAACAAAAATTGCCGAGCTATACTCAAATAATGTATAGCTCAATAGCAAAAAGGTTAGACTCATCTGACATTTTTATGACCCCTTGGGCCCGAATGAACCATATTGATTCATTTGATAACTCTATCTATGAGTACCACATCAAAGTGTACGCGATTAGATGAAATTGTAGGATTGCTCATTACACTCTGTGTTTTACTCACACACTCCGACGAAATTCCAAAAATACCTCTAGAATCCAGATTTTAAAATTCGGACGCGCCTCAACACACCACATATATACCCAGTCTTATAACCACGCAAAAACTCATTTAAATAAATATGGGTTTCAATATTTAGATTTCTTATGGAGATTGAAACTCAAACGCTTTTGTTTAAGTATTCGTGCCCAGACCTTTCACTCTCTATTCCCTTTTTCATTTTAGAAAAGTTAACAAAACAAAGATCATTAGCATACTCTTGTTCCAACATTATTTAAGCTTTATCATAAATTTTAATCCATTGCATTCAAGCTTAGCACATCTCTCAAGTTTTACTCCACTACATTCAATCCAAGATCATCCATCTCTCAAAATTGGTAATTTTCTCATTTCCTTGTTTTTTATTTGTGATGCATGCATTACTTAAACATGTAATAGTTATAATACATTAGGTTACATGGAATAGATATGTCATATATGTTTTGTCCTAATTTTCTTTGGTTTGAAATTTTAAAATTTGGGGCTTAGGGTTTGTAAGATCTCTTTCTGCTTCTTTTATTTTGGTTTCCTTCCGTTTGGCTTATGTTTTTTTATTCAGTTTTCCAATACTTTCTTTGATTATGATATGCTTTTTCTTGTTTGATTATAGGAAAATTGATGAAAACTAACAAAGAATGAGACATGGTATAGTGGCTCAATATGATTTCACTCGCAGGGAGAAAGCTATACCCTCGTATATTGTATTTGGAGAAAATTCATTTTATGCTAAAGCATTGTCTTCTCGGGTTCATCTGTATCTGGCATCGTATTCCCGCATCCATGTGTCTTTAGTTCATTATGAAGCCTTTATTGCCCCAAAAGCCCCTGTTGTTGTCGTGCCCGGTAGTTTTTTGGGAGGTCTCTCATACCTTTCACTTCTAACTTTGTATGCATACGATGTTGCTAGGCACGCATGCGATTGAGAGGTAGAATAAATCTTAAATTTCTCTTTTAAACTCCTGTGTTATAGTAATTGGACTGGCTGACTATGTTGTATTTATTTTGTGTAGTCTCGTGATATGTTAAAATGTATTAACCATGGTAGGAAGGTTACAAAGTTGTTGCAACCTGATGAACCATGGTTCCAGGATGTCTTGCGCCTATACGGGCTGAAAGATATATGCATGATTGGATATGGTTGTATTAACCATGGTTTATTGTTTGTGTTTGTGAAGCAGTGGCATGCATATACCTCGACATATCATCTTCTGATATGTGAGATGACCATCACGCTTGTTGATGTATCATGTCTTCCATATCTTTCGATTATAAGAAGATTATTAGATTACTATAGAATCAGTAGGCCTGATATGATGGATATAATAATGATATATTTAGGAGTTGACTCGAGTAAAGCCCAACAGGAGTTAGATGACACCGGAGGATGTCATGCTAGATTTTCATTATTGATTAGGTTGTATAAAGACCACTCGGATGTAGTTGTGGATGCTAAGGGTGATGATGCATGTGTTGCATATCATAGAGCATGTGCATTGAGGTCATACTTCATGATTTTAGTTGGTAGGAGTATATTTGTGGACAAAAGTGCGGCCTATGTTGATGTTGTCTACATTAAATACTTGATTGACTTGGAGAGGATTCATGAGTACAACTGGGGGTAACTTTTTTGGTTTGCCTCTACTTCAAATAATTTGAAGCTAGTTTATGGAAGACGAGACAAGTGACAACAATGAATTGTCTATTAACGGTAATTTTTTTGCACCCTTACTGATATTAATTACATAACACTTGTGTTACGCCCTTATTGATATTTCATCTGAACCATTTTCAAGAATGAATCAACTAACATTTTCCACGTCTCTCTGACTGCAAATATGTTCAAGAATACTTAGAAGAGTTTCCATGTGTCTGCTCGATCATCCCACTTAGAGGAAATTTGACGGCTGAGCCGTTTCGAGTTTCTCTTGACCGGATCGTGCCAGATGATATATGTTTCACGTTGTATGATGAGCACTGTGAGACATGCCTCTTGGAGGTAATATCCTTGTACTGTATATGATTGATTTACGGGTCCCAACTTATATACATGCATCTACTAGAGCGAGTACTATAATAGTTTGGATATCTGTAGGGTATACCTAGAGACTCCACAGTTATTTCTCTTGCCATTGTCCTTCGTAGAGATGTTGATGAGATATTTGCGGAGTATTATGAGCATCTCGTCCCAGAGAATGCATGTAGTGTTCCATCTCCTTGTCCATGGATCAGGTTATACATTTACATTTGATGATTTTATAGAGTGCCATATCCTTACATGACACGGTTGCTAAAGGAGATCCTCCAAGATCAACTCATTAGAAGATACTAGAAGAAGAGCAAGACAAGGGTGGATCATTTCGTGGATGTTGTCGATATGTCATCGTATTATAGCTATTGGGAGACATGGCATCATTAAAGGAGAGTTTGAGGAAGACATTCCTCAGATGTTTACTCTATAAGTCATCTTAACAGAGGCGTGACATACGTTGTAGTACAAGATGAATATGAGAAACATGAGTGTTAAATATACATAATAACTGATTTTTACTTTGTATTTTGATAGTAATATTTTGAAATTTTATATTATGGTTGATTGTATTTTATTAACACTGATGTATGATTTACCAAAATATTTTATTTTAATTTTATTATTGAATGATAAATGTGTATGATTTATTGTAGAATTGATTTATAATCATTAAAAGATATAAATTTTCTTCTAACTTATTATTAAGTGTGAAAAAACTGTCAAGGAATTTGTCCTGATTTTAAAATTCAAACTCACTCCATTATAAAGAAATACAAATACAAACACATCCAATGTGTACGATTTATTTAGAGATTAAAATCTTAATTGTATAATATGATGAGTGAGTGTAAAGAAGTTGTTAATATTTATAAAATAAATAATTTAGAAAAGAATATATATGTCACAAATAACAAAATGTCACAATACAAAGTCACATAAAGAAAAATAAAAAATGTAGAGAAAGTGCCATGGCCACACGTTCATAAGAAAGAAAAAAAGAGATGATGTGAACAGAACATAAAGTGTGAAACCTGAAAGAGAGTAAGAAAGAGCTTGGCTAAGGAGTGAGAGTAACGAACATTCATTGTAATCACTAATCATAATCATATAGGAATGGCGACTATATCATCTTCTTTGCCAACAAATAATAATAGCATTTTCTCAGTTTCATCAAGACCACAGTTTCTGTTTCCTTCTTCTTTATCTTCACTTCCTTTCATTTCCACAGCAACTGCCATCCAATTCCATAATCATTCACTTATTAATAAGTTTCACCTTCGACGACGGTTTAATTCTGTTACAAAATTGCCAACAACAATAGCCATGACAACAACTGAGTGGTATGTTTCTTTATACTTGTTCCTAACCAAACTTGTTTTGTTTTTGTTATTCTTATATTTATTATGGTTTAGGGTTCAACAAGATCTTCCACCACCTCTTACTTCAACTTCACCTCCACCTTCTTTATTTGATGGAACTACCAGGTTTCTTTCTTATCTTCTTTCTCACCTAACAAACAAATACAAATGAAATAATACTTATGTTTTGAACCATTCTTGTGGCTATGATTGAACTGAAGATTGTATATCTCCTACAAATGTCCCTATGCACAACGTGTATGGATCACCCGTAACACTAAGGTTAGTTATTCTCCTATGTAGCACCGACACCTCTGAAACTGAAAAAAGATTTGTTGTGTTAGTATAGTTTGTGTCTGAAAAAAAGTTTGTTGAACGTGTTAGTGTCAGTGTTGTGTTTCGAGTGTTCATTTAATAGTAACAGTAACAAGGTCTCTATTTTTTTGGAAGCAGGGATTGCAGGACAAGATACAGTTAGTTCCCATTGATCTACAAGATAGACCTTCTTGGTATAAGGACAAACTCTACCCACCAAACAAGGTCCATACAATATTTATCCTTCCTTCTTATATATTTCTTGTGAAAAATCAAATATTACCACATTCTATAGAGTGTTTTTTTTAATGGTTTTCAAAGTTTAGGTTCCATCTCTTGAACACAACAATGAAGTTAGAGGAGAGAGTCTTGATCTGATTAAATATATTGACACACACTTTGAAGGACCCTCTCTTTTTCCTAATGTAAGATACATTTCTATCTTCAGTTTTGATGTTTATTTTCAGGTTCAAAATGTAAACTGAAAAGGTTTGCTATTTTGATAAATAGGGTTCTCCTGATAAGGAATTTGCTGAAGAAATTTTATCTTACACGGATACCTTTTACAAGACAGTTGTTTCTTCTTTTAAAGGAGATGTGAATGAGGCTGGTAAAATGATATTTTCTTTCTTCATGTTGTTTTGTTACATATAAAAATGAATGTGAAATTTTGAATTTGATGTTGCTTCCTTCATTAGGCACTGCTTTTGATTACCTTGAGAATGTTCTCTCTAAATATGATCTTGGACCTTTCTTCCTTGGCGAATTTAGTTTGGTGAGTATACTTATCTTAATTTGCAGCAATGGCAATGCATAGTGCACATTACAAGTGTATTTTTCAGATTGAATTGAACTGTAAAAGAGATTCTTTTATTTCAGGTGGATATAGCATATGCTCCTTTTGTGGAAAGATTTCAACCCTTTTTGATGGATGTGAAAAATTATGACATTACATTGGGCAGACCTAAATTGGCAGCATGGATTGAGGTAGAGCATATAATAAAATCTTATTTATTTATTTATGCTTCTCCTCGTAAAATATTTGACAGACACCTATGTCACCTTAAGAGACAACTAGATACAGAGAGAGATATAATAGATACGATAGGTTGGTGATGTGATAGGAAGAGATAGATAGAGATAAAATGCAGTGTAGTTTTAGAAAGAGCGTCCAAATATGATTATAGTTCAAAACATCCACTTAGACATCTGGGCTGCAATATAACAACCATAGAAGTTCACTAAAGAATTAAAATTGTGTTCTACTACAGGGAATAAACAACATTGAAGGCTACAGAATAACCCGTTCTGACCCCAAGGAGCTTGTTGAAAGCTACAAAAAGCGCTTCCAGGTATATCATAAGTGACAAATGCACATCACTAGAGATATTGATCAATTCCAGGTACATATTGCTTCACACTGATTTTCTACAAAAAGCTACAATTGATGATCCTTGATCCATTCTTATCTGCAGGCCAATCCTTGAATCCAATGTTTGGCATCACAGTGGGATTGATCAGAAAATCAGTGTCAAATGCACATCACTAGAGATATTGATTTTGTCATCCAGAAAATGCCACATAATGAACCAATAATTAGGGTATCTAGAGATGGCCGTGAGAGTTGCGTTTACATTTATTATTACTCTTGAACCCAGATTTATATACCAAGTTACTATACTAAGCATTTCCCTTAATAAATGATGATCTGTATGGATTACTTAGTTGAGTTAACTACTATCGCACTTGTGAGAAATAGTTTACACGCACACATTTAAATGTAAAGTGTTTGTGTTGTAAATGCTTAATCAAACTGCTTATCCAAACATAGTCTAACTGAAAAAGAAACAAGTTCAACTTCCTTATGTCCACATTATCTACTATGCTTGATATCAAAAAGTTTTTACAGTTTGTTCAAATAAAACTTATCTACTCATTGATCAGCACTTTTCTATGCACACTGTAGCTGCAAGAGCACATGTAAAACAGTCATACATATTAACCATAAGTATACATTAGTGTGCTTATAGTTGTACATAATGATTAAAAATAACATAACCAACATAACCGAAGAAAGGCAATTGAAAAGTAAACTAGGGTCGTATAATAACTCCTGTTTTGAATTTTCTCTGGTGGCAGGCTTCAGAGACTCCAAAATCTAGGCCACTTCTTTCTTTCTTTCATTTTATTACCTAGAATGACAGGACAAAAGAATGTGTGCGGATGATTTTTAGGAATATGAGAAATGGTGCCGCCATCTAGTTAGACGTTATGCAGAATAAATATAACATTTACATGCCACCAAAAATGCAGCTCCCTTTCGTGACATAATATGGCAACCAACAGGAGAATTTGAGCCACGAAAAATTGGATATATATGTGAAATACAGGGAGCATGAAGCAATGCTACCTCAGCAACACCTTCCAAATTTTCCTCATATATACAACCAATGACCATAAAGCAAGCCCTGCTGAAGTATAAAGCAAAGCAACACCAGACCCAACTACAAAAGCAGTTCCTCCATGACTGAAAAGAAATATGGGAAAAGACAGAAAATCATATAAGCTCATGCTCATTTAGGGAATGAGGTTTTGACATAAATCCTCTTCTCATAGAATCTCTAATCTAATTAATAGTTAGAGTATCCTCAAAATACAAAGTAAACGTATACCTCGAGTCCCGGGTGGCGAGGAGGATGGCTAATGCAGTCATCTGCGTGGCTGTTTTCCACTTCCCCAAGTTATTTACAGCAACAGCCTATTATACCAAGTTTCATGACATAAGCTCATAACTTTCTGCGAATACCAGCTAGTTAATTCAATTTGAAGTGTATAGAAGATGAAACAAACCTCTAAAAGCTTACTATCCTGGGAAGCGGCCCATTCCCTGACAGCAGACATGGTAATCTATTTGGCAAGTCACAAGAAAAAAAATATAAGCTAACTGATTTGGTCACTAATGCAAAACCCGTAAGTCAGAACAACGTATGATGTCTCAAAAGTATAAGGAAAATACACAAAAGTATGGCTAATTTACCATATAAATATGGATCTCACTGAGTCAAACAATTAAGCTTTTGGGTAATTATATACTAACTATGCATCATCGACGTGCCAAAGCAAAATACAATTACAGGTACATACACGAGATGGAAACAAAATGTCATCCCTAATTAAACTATCAAAGATTTCGCTCCCACAGCATCATAGATCAAAACAATAGATCGTCAAATGCTTGAGAAACAACTATTCAAGATCCAAACAAGGTAAATACGAATTCTCCATTTCCACACACAAGAAAACTGATTATCAAACCCACCTTTACTTTGGCCCAGTTCATTCAGTAGTGTTAAAAATAACATCATTAGTAATTCTTATTCTTTGCCTGTTACAGTGAACACCAGTTTCACTGTCATGGTAAGTTGGTGTAATAAGAGTTCATTGATTTGTACACATAAACACGTTACAAACAAAACATCAAAGTACAAAATATGAAAAATAGAAGAGATAAAGAAAAGTAGTATTTAGTAATACAAAACAATTAAGATGCGTGTCACACGGTTCCCGACTTCCCGGAGAGGTAAAGAAGAGCTTATCAGTAAAGCATGCATTAGAAATCAGATAAGTAAGTATTCCTTACCTCTCTACCAATGATGGCAATGGAAGGTATAGGCAGTAACCAGGGTGCTTGTGCAAAGAAACCAACCTCCAAAGGTCTAGTACATAATAAAACCAAAGTAGCAGCAACCATAAGCTGCATTGAGTAGAACACACACATGCATGTTTAAACATTATTAGTTTCAAGACAAATTTTCTACTTTTAGATTCCTTAAAATGTGCCTTTAGGTATGAATTGCAATGCATCAAAAGTTAAGAATTAGAGGAATTACCTTGTCAGCAACAGGATCTAAGAATGCACCAAATGAAGATTTTAAATTCATCTGCATTGCAAAAAATCAAAATTAGTAAAAAAAAAAAAAAAGTTAGTTAGTGGTGTTTGAAATGAATTGAATAACCTTGCGAGCAATATAACCATCAAGCCAATCAGTAACAGAAGCAGCAATGAAGATTGTGGTAGTAGCTACTGTTCCTCGCCAACCATCCATATAGAAAGCTACACACAACAGAATTATATACAAAAATGAAAATGGAAAGTGTTGCACTGAACGGAATAGAGGAAACACTTACTAGCAACAAGAAGCGGCACGGCGGCGACACGGCCGAGAGTGAGAATGGTGGGCAGAGTGAGCAATTTGGAAGGTTGGGACTGTTCTTGTTGTTGTTCTGGTTGTGGCTGTGGTGGAACGGTTGAAACTAAGGTTTTTCCGGAAACCCCAAAATTGGCGGAGAAAGAGGGGGGTTTATTGGAAATTGGGAATTTGGTTGTGGAGGGGGTGTATTTGAAGCGTTTGTGTTGGTGGAAGTTTCTGGAAGTGATGGAGTTTGAGAATGAGAGGAAGAGGGGTTTGGCGGCGGCGAAGGCGGTGGCTGTGGGTGAACGGACGTAGATAGAAGCGGTTGCGCTCAGTTTAAGAGCCGACATCATCGATCACTAATAACAACAATCAGACCAATTAAACCAGTATTGTCTCAAAGCTTCCTTAATTTTTTTAGAAAATGGAAATTTATTACCCACTTGAAATCACTTTTTTTCTCCCAACAAAATTTGTGAAAATACCGTTTTCATCCATAAAAAAAGAGTATGTTAAACTTCTTTTTTTGCTTTGGAAACCTTCTCTTTTTTTTTTTTTTGCATTGGAAAAACTTTTTTATCAATTGTTTGTGATTTTTTTTAAATAATTAATCAACTGTGATTTTGTAAAGTCATCAAAATCGTAAACACTTATGTTTTGTTTGATTGGTGATACGTTAGTTGATAGATTATAGTTTATAACTGATGGTTGATAGTTAATAATTTATAATTGAAGATTGGTGACTGACGTTTGATAAATTAATTAAAATATTTGATAAAAATAACGGTTTAACTAGTTGATAAATGTAGAATGACATAAAAATATATTTTTTAATTACTAATTAAATATATATTTAAAATAATTAAAATTTATAAAGTAAATAGAAGGAAAAATGATAAGTTATAAGCTAAAATGCTATTTAAAATAACGTCTGAAAAATGAGTTATAAACTAGTAAAATAATTTATAAACTCGTGATAAAAATACTATTACCAAACAAGTCTTTTATTACTGATCTAACCTGATCAGAAATGGACCGTCACGGCTGACTCCGAGCTGAAAGTTTTGAACGAGGTGGGTGGTACCTGCAAGACACTCCGATGCTGAAGTAAGTAGAAGCACGAGCAGGCAATAGTAAGTGTATGGGTAGAATGATGAATACCTGACCCTCTGGAAACAGAGGGTATTTATAGCCCCCAGCGCTGGGCCAAGGTTCCTTCCTTGGGCCGGGCAGGTTTGGCCCAATGGAGGAACTGCCAGGTTCTACGTGCGTAGTGGGGACCCGCACGTGGTCCCCTTTCTGGATGTTCTGCGTGAAGTGCGGGCGGACGAAGACGCGGTCTTTTCGGGGTCTCGTTGGGAGTGCAGTGGACTGAGTCTGCCCTAGTTGGGGGTGCTCGAGGTGATGTCGAGCTGGATAGCAGGATGTCGAGCTGGAGATGTAGAGGTCGAGCACGTGACCTCAGGGAGCACGTCGGGCACGACTGTGACCCTTTGGTCGGCGTGGTCCTCGGCAAGTCCATTTGGATTGGGCCTTAGCAATGCTATTGGGCCAGTCGGGCCCAGTCCAGAACAGGAGCCCCCCAAGTCGTGGTTCCTTTGTTAGGAGCCATGGCTTGATCTCAGGTCGTTTCCGCTTCGGGGTCTCGCGCCCGGGTCAGAGATGCAGGCCCTCGAGGGCCTCTCCGTGTCGTGCTCGGAGACAAATCTTTTACGGTGGATGCTCGGAGGATCCTTGTCGGCGCGTGTCTGTCGAGCACACGAGGTATCTTTCGGGAACTGTGCCGCCACCCTATGATGATAGGGTCATCATTACGTTGGGAGCAGTGCGTCGAGGAGAGAAACTCCGTGGTTGCCCGAGGTGACGTTTGGTATTCCACGTCACCACTATAAATAGGATCCTTGGGCCCCATAACTCGTTTCTACTCTTTGCGCTCCTACTACTGCTGTTCTTCTAGATTTTTCATAGCTGCGATCTCCGTTACAGATTCTTTTCCTCCGTAGCCGAATCCACTTCTTGATTCAAGTAAGTGACTTATCTTCTTTATTTTCCTGTTATAATGCATGATTTTCAGCATTGTAGACGTTTTTAGGGACTGTGCGCATGGGACTAGCCCGGTAAACTCATGTTTAGCTCGACATATTCATGCTTAGGACCGGCAAACACATGCTCGTGGCCGGTAGATACATAGTTTAGGTAGTAATCTGCAGCGCTGCCCAGGGTCTTCATGATCCAGGGCGCCTGATTCATGATCGTGCCCGGTATGTTCATGATTCTGGCCGTAGGTTGCATGATGTTGGTCGCCATGTTCATACCTTGGGTCGGCATGTTGGAGAGTGGTCGCGTTGTCGGTTTGCTCAGGCGGTTTGGAGAAGGGTCAATCGAGTTATCTGGATGTCGGAGAGGCGACTGCTTTCTTGTTGCAAACTAACTTTTGTGGTCGTGCATGGAACGATGTGGTTTATCGTACACTACATCTGGTCCGCTACGTCGAGCGTATGGTTTCGTGCCCAATTGACTGGTTTCCCGTGCTCTGCAGGTAACCATGGCGGACGAGCCGTGCTCCTCTGGACGTCCCGAACATGAGGAACAAAGTGCCGATGAGGCGGTGAGCTTGATTGATACTGTCGACGACCCTTTGTTGGATTGGGTGGGCGCCGAGCCCCGAGGAATCGCGTCGATATATAGCCGGCGTGACCGAAAGCCATATGGTGTCCTCGAGGCGGGCCACGGTCAGCCTGATTTCCAAAAGAATTTCGTTGTCACGCGGCCGACCTCCCGTGCTCGGATCTGCTCGGTGTACCCAGAGTATAGCTTCCCGATGTACGAGATTGCTTTCAAAGATCTTGGGCTGCAGCTGCCCTTCAGTGACTTTCAGACCGGGGTCTTCTCCCATCTGGAGCTGGCCCCGTCACAGCTGCACCCGAACTCGCTCGCCTTTATCCGGGCGTTTGAGCTGACATGTCGTTTTCTGAGGATTGGGGCGACCATACCGCTCTTCTTCAGAATTTTTCATCTGCAGCGCCAGTCCCGAGGAGGGAAACACAGTTGGGTCTCCTTAAAACAATCGAGGAGACTATTCAAAATGTACATGGACTCCGTAAGGGGTTTTAAAGACAAGTGGTATGTCGTGAGGCCAGTTACCACGTCTGCTTTAGGATCCCTGTACGAGGAGGAGGCGCCCATAAGCGATGATGACGGGGAGGCAGTCGTAGACAACGATGGGTATCCCGTGATGGCCCGCACGGCCAAGTTCCCTGTGCATTGGATGTTCAGGCATTACGAGCACGGGACTGGATACTATCATACCGCTGCGGGTAACATGTGTTCGGAGGACGAGGAGGCGTACACCACTCTTTGTCGGTTCTTTGACAGCTTCCACCCCGCCCGGTGGGCCACGAGGGAAGGGGAAGATGTCTTGGATGAAGAGGGTTATCCGACATTTGAGTCTCGGCCGATTGATACTAAGGCACTCGTGGAGTGTCAGACGTTCAGACAGGTTGCTCGTCTGCTAGGTCGTTTATTGCTTGAATTTCTTTGCTCGTCATTTATTTATGAACTTGTTCGACACTAACCCGTCTTTTATTTTGTGCAGGTTCGATGGTCGGGCGACGGGAAAGACTCTTGAAGTTGTCTTGTGACCAGAAGCGGGGTAGGAGGGTCGTGAAGGCTCCCCAGGCAACGGGGATGGGCCCGCCACATAGTCTGGGCGCTCCTCAGGTGGTGAGGATGGATTCGTCGCCCAGCTCGGGGGCCGCGTCGGACGAGATCCCAGAGGTTCAAGAGGTCGATCCTAATGCCGACCTGATACAAAGAAAGAGGACCCGGGTGGAAAGCGGTCCGACTGTCAGCGAGGACGCCAGCGCCGTCAAGTCTTTCGGGTTCCCCCCTTGCTTCAAAGAGGAGGGTTTTTTCGAGAGACTCCCTCTGTCTGTGGTTGCCGACGAGGCTGAGACTATCAAGAGGATGAGTAAGGAGGATCGGAAGAGGCACCTGGCCGCCAGCATGGACGGGCTGGTTAAAATGGCCGAAATGGCCCTGGTGCTGTCCGAGGAAGGGGGGGATCCTGTCCGTATTGAAGAACTTGAGCAGGAGAAAGCGGCTCTCACCTCGAGCTCGCGGAAGTTAAGGACTGCCCTGGAACGCTCCGAGGAGATGTTCCGCGAGCAGGCATCGCTGCTGGCTGCTGAGAGAGAGATGCTGGTCCTGGAGAAAGAAAATTCGGGGAAGCTAGCCGAGGAGGGAGAGCTTCTCCGTGCGGACAGGGATCGTCTGGAGACCGACATCGGGCGCTTGACCCAACAGATCGAGGACATGAAAGTCACCATGCTTCCTGCCGAGGACGAGCCGGAGGACATAGCGGCTTTGAAGAGTCGATCGGAGCTGGTCGCCCATATCCGGTTGCTCGAAGCAGATTGCGTCGGTGCTCTGGAGGAGGGGTTCGACTCCGCAGTCGGCCAGCTTTCCTTGTTAAACCCTGGTTTGGTCACTGAGGGGACGGGCCACACACATCAGATCGTGGATGGCGTGATCGTGCCCCCGCCCGACTCTCCAGTTGTCGACAACGATGGTTCCGGGGAAGCCTGATTGTAGGATAGCGGGTCTGCGTGCCTTTGATATTTGTATTTTTTGGGCCTGCGTGCCCGTTGGTTGTACTTTATGAACATCGTCGGCCTTCTTGGTCGGTTTATAATCATTTGCTTTGTTGCCTTCGGGCATTTTTTGAATGAATGCTGTTTTACATTTGATCGTTTGCCCGTGCTTGAAATCTTATATTTTTGCATAAAATTTAGCCTAAGTTATGGGCCCGAGGAGTGCCCGTAAGTGGCTGTGATTTAGCGGGCGAGTTTGCCCGCCTTTCGTTTGTATGTGTGCCCGACCTTCTTTCGTTGGCCAGAGTCACCTAAGTGTTGCACTCGAGGAGAGAGACTTCCCTTTGACCCTTTTAGATGGCCCGTCATTCTTGACGACTTGTCGGGCATATGGAGCGAAGTTGCTCAGTCGGGCGCGAAGCCCGGTAGGGACTATTCGCCCTTGGTGTGAACTGCCCATCGCGAGCTGGGTGTTCTGCCTTACAGGTACTACGACGGTGGTGCTCGGTGTAGTTGTCCACGTCGGGCACTATCGATCGATCTCGTTTGTTGAGCGATGTTGTGCGATTTAGCCATATGTCAGGCTTGTACCTCAGCCTCTATACGGAGTCAGACGTTTTTCCTCGTCGACCGGGCGCGGGTGCCGATGGTCGAGGGTCCTAGGTGTTGGTAGTTTTTAACTATAGTACTGCTTTAGCTTAGCAGCGTTCCAGGGTCGTGGTAATGGTTCTCCGTCTAATTGCTCGAGATAGTACGCCCCG